TACCTAATTATTGTAAGGGAAAATGAAGAAACACTCTACTGCCAGCTACTTCAATTTTAAAGCACTTGAAGGGGAGCGCACCCGAGGAACAGCAATAATCTTTTATTCCCTGCTCAGATACTTAACTATTGTATGGGAAAATGAAGAAACACTCTACTACAAGCTACTTCAATGATGTAGGTAGCGTTTTAATCTAATGTTAGATCCTGTTTCAATTGATCTTATGGTGGCCTTAGGTTTTTGAAAATCTATAGATTTTGTTTTTTATATAAGAGAAAAAGGCTTTAGGCTTTAAGAATGGTAAAAGTATGTTCCAAGAGGTGTTTGATTAATAGAAATTCAAAATTACTTTGCCAAAAAAATTTGCAGTGTGTTTATTCTATAGCTTTGGGTCTTAGAGTTAGACTGGACAGTGGTTAATTTTATAGTTTCGGGAGACTGGAAAAGATAAAGGGGTGTAGTTTTGGGTTTTAGACTGGACAGTGGTTAATTTTATAGTTTCGGGAGAGTGAAAAAGATAAAGGGGTGTAGTTTTGGGTGACTGGACAGTGGTTAATTTTATAGTTTCGGGAGACTGAAAAAGATAAAGGGAACGGTTGATTGGGACTTGTTTGGGTAGAGTTTTCAAATAGAAAAGAAGGGTTGTTGTGGCTGTTCTGAGGCTGCTAATGTGCTCTGAATAGTAAACCCATGAACATTAACTTAGCTTCTTTGTGGTTTGGGGTTTCAGGGGTTGACCTTTAATTGAAGGGAAGGATTTTAGGATTGAGAATAATGGTTACGACTTGCGAGGTCTGATTGCAAGTAATGGAGAAAAGAAAAGAAAAGGAGAAGGATAGATGAAGATGTTAGTCATCACACCTGGGGTTAGGATTGCGTCACATAGTTTCCAGAGAGTTTTAAAAGCATCTAAAAGTTATCTGGTGGAGTTTTGAGAGAGTTATATGACTATATATAGACTGTTAAGTAATTGAAACTCTAGAAGGATTTGGAGTCCATAATAAAAACTTGAAACCTTTTGACTAGTAAAACTCCTATAAACCTATTATATATCACTTATAAAGGCCCACTCACCCGTCTACTAGAAAAATAAAATCCATGGGTCAGGCCAAGTTCAGAAAATGATTAAATTACTAAAATGCCCTGATTCCTAGAAAATAGGAACACATATATAAACTGCAGTGCAAGCAAAATAATCTAAAGAATTATAAAATAGGACTTATGACTCAAAAACTTGACCACGCAAGGTCTCAAGTGGGCCTTGCCATCCGACCATTTCTAGAAAAAAAAATTTTGTTTAAATTTCCTTCTCGTGGACTTAATATGGTTTGCATCAATATACAACAAGCATGACAACAATTTTTTGATCAAATTGTCTACTAGCAAGGAGACAATATAAAGTACAGAATAACGTTCACAATATCATTCCACCCATAGATTTATTAAATTTTTCCACCAAAAAAAAAATATATATGATTTGTTGAAAACACTTGCATGCATCTAGGCAGTCAGAATTTAATTCTTTTTCCTTATTCCTTTTTTTTTTTTGGGGTGGGGTTCTTGTCCCCTCAGGTAGTCATATTCCCTTAGCCGGTTTGTGTTGTTTTGAAAAGGTGATATATAGATGTTCAATTTATTCAACTGCAAAATGGTAAGAAAACCTTGAAGGATGGCAATAAAACCATTAGAGCATGGTGGTAAAAATGATGTAATGGTATTTAAGGGATGGTTGGTTTAGGCATGATTCTTATCATTTTTCAATAGAAAAGCTTTAACAAATTTTTCCAAAACCATTGTAGCATGGGGGAAATGTGTCTGCAAGGCATCATGAAAGGATGGCTCGGTTAACGGTTCGATTCATATTTTGTATCAGTAAAAATGATTAAACAATGTCATTTTTAATGAAACAACATTTGGTAAACCCATGAGTTTTTATATGCAATAAAAGTAGGCTTATTTGTTTTTCATTTTTTCTGTCAATCAAGTTTTCATTATTACCACTATTACTACTTCTATTACAGTTCGTCCATGAGGCTTTGCTCATAAAGTACATTTTTTACATTAGCACTTAATGGATTTTGATTATACTCAGAGCTGTTGGACTGTGATGTAAATTTTAATGATATATTTCGTGGCTCTTTGTTGTATTCAATTTGTCTAGTATTTGATCTAAAACTCAACCTCTCATTTCTTGTATGGAATGAATATGCATTTGAATACAAATATAAAACTTAGTTGCAAAATCTTTTTTTTTTCTTTCATTTCCACAAGAGTATATAGAGAGATTGAAGAAATCTTACAAAGAGCTGGTGAACATAAAAGCTAAGAAAAAGGAGACGGAATAGCTGAACAAAGAGATTAAAAACTTTTTGTTATATTTCCTGGTTAAGTCGTTTATATACTTTGAGAGATCACATAGATCAAGGCTTATGCTTCATGCACTAGGAGAAGTCCTAATGCTGCATCACTAGTCTTTCATTTTTTTTTTTTTTTTTCGTGGATCTCTCAGTTTCTTTTTTTCTTTTGTGTTTTTATGAAGAGGGGCTATGAGGCCTTCTAAAGTTGAATTTAACTTTGTCCTTTGTAAAGTGACTTTTAATGTAAACATTCAGATAAATGTTATTATGTGTTCTATTAGTAAGTCATCAATTTTAATTGATTACTGGAAAGATGAGTTTACAAGAGGGATTAGGGTGGACTAGTTTATTTCTTCTTGTTGATGGGAAAAAATCAATTTGGTATGGTACTCCAATCCTCAAGCTCATACTTTTATAAGTTTTACGGAAATGTTAGTTAATATAAGTGCAGGTCTACATTGAATGGCTTGGTTATTGTTCAAAATCCCGTCTTGCCAAATAATTGAAAATCCTTCAGGTTCAACAGAGCTTGTTGGTGGATTGGAAAATTATGCAAAATTTGATTGAAACTTATTTAGTTGCTGAAGCAGAATTATCATTTAATAATGGGTTGAGTTGCCCAATATAAATTGTACAACTGTGGAAAGATATGAAGATTTACAGCTGGGGGTATTGTGCTATTCTCGGGAGGATTTTGTCTGGAATCAACTTAATTTAAATTAATAATAGGTTGGAGAAACAAAACTAAACCCGACTACCTGAAGCTTCTAGGTCAAGTGTAATCGGCATTTATCCTTGTGGAAGTCTTTCATGTATGATGTACTTGGACGCTGAAGCCCATTGCTTTCCATTTCTCCATGCACTTCCCTAGCGACTGTCTTTCCTTAAAAAACAGATAGTCCAAAAAGACAATTTGCTTTGGGATTTGAATGCTTTTGGATCTCCAGCAGTGGTTAAATGGTTAAAGGGAAGTATGGTAAAGATTAATTAGGTGCAGAAGACAGGGTGCATGTACTGAGGATTTGGTACCTGTCTTTCTGTCTATGTAGATAAAGAAAAACTGGCATACATACTTGGAAATTCCGTCCAGATTGCTGACCAACCTATCATAATATGATAATAAAGCCTTTCTTGTATTGGAATTATGTTATGGTAAAGATTAATTAGGTGCAGAAGACAGGGTGCATGTACTGAGGATTTGGTACCTGTCTTTTTGTCTATAGAAAAAGAAAAACTAGCATCCATACTTGGAAATTCCGTCCAGATTGCTGACCAACCTATCATAATATGATAATAAATTTCTTGTATTGGAATTATGTTAAACGAAAACGACTTTCTGGGTAATAGCTTTCGGTGACGAGAACATGTGATATGTTAATATGTGAAGCCATAATGATGGATATCTGATTTCCAGTATATTATATATATATAGTGGTGTGTGTGAGAGAGAGAGAGAGAGAGAGGAAAATGATTGCAATGGACAGGGAAATGCTTGCAATCTTGGTGCTTTGAAATAGTGTATATAACTCTACTGGATATGATTTAGAGGGGGGGGGGGGGGGGGGGGGGGGGGGGGGGGGCCAATTCATTGCAATGGACAGGGAAATGATTGCTATGGACACGTTTAGAGAGGGGGGAAAGTAGGAAACTGATTGCAATGGACAGGAAAATGGTTGCGATGTCAGTGGTTTGAAATAGTGTGTAAAACTCTTTGGGATGCAATTTAGAGATATCAAGAGGATCTGGATGATTTTCCATTTATCATGTGATATTGTAGAGTTGCTGAGCTTGTCTTTTTGTTTTGTTTTTTTGTTTTTTGGTTTTTTGAGTGTGTGTGTGTGAGAGAGAGAGAGAGAGGATTGGGACAGCATGATTTAAAGTATTGCAATCTCATAATGGTTGATGTCCAGTTATATTTCTGGGTTGTCATATACTTATATGGTTCCAAACCTAACACGTTTTTCTTTTGTTTCTTTTATTTGATTTTGTTTTTACTTCTTATACCATTACTAGTATTTAAGATATGAGGGAAGTGGTTCAGAGATTTCCTCTTACTGTGTTATGAAATAGTTGTGGAAGTGTCTATAGCAAGTACCACACTTTTGCATATTTGCCAACTATTGAGAATCCTTAATATTCCTGCTTTTGTCCTTGCTCTTTTTTTCTTTCTTTCTTTTTCTAAAGATCCATTTGAGACTGTGTCAGATGGTTGAATTGTTTGGACTGGAAATTATACCGTCTCTTGCTAGCTTGATCATTTTTAAACCCAGCACAGTTCTATATGAAGTATTTTATTTAAATTATTTAGTAACTGCACTGTCTAATATAACTAATTCTTAATTAGATTAGTATCCCTTGTGCTGTTCAACCTCCTGGTCTTGGTACAGTAACACCTACTCGTGGACGAAATCTGATTTGGTTGTTGGTTGTGCAACACTGTTTAACTGCTGTTTTCCTTGTAGCATGGGCCTTTAGATACCTAGGCTACCCTCCACTTTCTTCATCCTCCTACCCCCCGGCTTTTCTTTTTTTTTTTTTTCCCCCTTTTCTTTTCTTTTTTGTTTTTGCCCCCCCCCCCCCCTCCTTTTTGTCTTTTTTTATTTTTTATTTTTTCCTATCATTTGAACTATATTTCATCTATAGGGTTGTGAGCGAGAAGTTGCCGAGGCTGAGAAAGGTTCCGCTGATGAACTTAAGAGTGAATGTATTATGCGGCTGTCGTGGGCTCTTGTTCACTCAAAGCGACCAGAAGATGTGCAACGTGGGATAGCAATGCTTGAAGGTGAATAAACAGATGCTGAACTTATCATCTCTCTCTCGTTGGCCATCTTGGGTTCCTTAACCTTGTGGGAACTTGTCTGAATGTTTTGAGCCTCTGAAGCCAGAACTCAGGAGTGCCCATGCCCTTTTTTGTTTATATTTTATTTCACTAGGTTGTTTTCATGTTCTCTTTCTTTTTGGGTTGTGGACTAGGCTACTTTGTTATGACATCAGGGAACTTGTCATTTGCAGCTTCTTTGAGTGGCATTAGCAGCCCATTGCAAATGAGGGAGAAGATTTATCTTCTGGCTGTTGGATATTACAGAGGCGGGGACTATTCAAGGAGCAGGCAGCTTGTTGACCGATGTTTGGAGGTCTGTCTCTGTATTGTGCTTTGTTTGTTGTGGCTTAGAAATGTACTTTTAGTTGCTGCTGTTTGCTTATATATTCCTAAAATTGTTATGATGCTGCATAACCCCTTCTTTTTGTAGTTAAGCGTACACACCAACACACACACACACACACACACACACACACTATTGTTCCAATAAGGCACTTGAACCCTCAAGCTCCTATTTGTTAAGATGAGGAGGTACCAATCGAGCTAAAGCTTTGGTGGTTGATGCTGCAAAATTTTAACTTGTCTCATATCTGCTAAAATTCGCCTATGCATTGGGTAGCATTTAAAATATGTGGTAGATAACATTGACAAACTTGTGTGCATGTGTTTTGAGTCGTTCGATCATGCCAATTTGCCCACTTTCTTTTGAAATACTCATCTTTGCGGCGCGAGTTTGTAGATTGCACCTGATTGGAGGCAGGCCCTGAACCTTAAGAAAGCAATTGAAGATCGAATTACGAAAGGTATGAACCAATACGTTTCAATTTTTTATATGCATCGAGTTGAATGAAAAAAAAAAATGACTTTTTCCCATTCTTCCTTTTCTTTTCCCCTGAAATACAGATGGAGTGATTGGCGTAGGCATTACGGCGACTGTTGTAGGACTCTTGGCTGGTGGGATTGCGGCAGCTTTGTCTCGTAAGAAATGATCCAACCTTGTCATCGACCAATGTGCATAATAACAAATAATAGTTCTTCATCTTTTCTATCCATCTACTTGTTTGATCTTTGAATCTTGTTGCTCGAGCTCCTGTTGTCTTGTGTTCATTTTCAAACTTCCTCCGAGAGAACAATATCTGTGGTGTTTGAAGCAAGTCCTACCCAACTCTTATCTTTAGTTTGGTGGTTTTTACTTGAATTGTTGATGTATGGAACATTTTATTGAATGTATTCTTTCCTTTAGGCTTCCTTTTCGCTTTCGATCTGTTTGTTCTGTTTCATGAGTGACTTGAATGAATGGTTTTAGAAGAGGTCTGCCTTCCCCAAATACGGGCACACTTGTTCGGAGAGGTGGGCGCTCTACCAATTAGGCCGTTAGCTAATGCGCAGGAGGTCTACCCTTTATATTAGTTGGGTTTGCATATAGCAGGTTGAACTTCAAAAATAGTTCCAGCAAAAGGCTGAGAGCTTTAGAAAACCCATGGTGGCTGCCGCATCACATTTGAATTTTTCATTTTCTTTTTAACAGTTGCTTTGCTTTAATTAGTCTCAGTGTTGAATGTAAAAGTCTACAATACCCTAGTACGATATTTGGGTCTCTCAGCCATTGAATCATCTATCAGGTGAGTCTCACCACCATATCCAACGATTGAGAGACCAAGAGTTATGGTACTCGGGAGTATTTTAGAATTTTTCGTGTTGAACAATTCCTAAACTAAAGCTGTTCAAATAGCTTGTGAATGTTGATGCATGTGTAAGATTAAAGTTGTAACTAATATGGAACTTATGAAAATTTTTGAAAATTAGAACCTTTTGTTTCACATATATTTTTGCCATTATATAGCAAGTCGATACAATCTAAAGACAGTGAGTTGGTAATTCTTTTATGTTTAACAGAATTGGCATAAGCAATAATTGACAAGACTCGAGAAATACGTTGTCATCGAAATCTGCAAAGTGGAACTACATAGCTCGAACGAAACGAACACACGAGCACGTTATGTTGTCTCACTCGCGAATATTGCAGACAGTTGACTAAATTCACCTTATATGGATGTTGGCAATACAATTTACAAAGTTTTTTTCGACATTTTGAATTTAGAATTTAGAATTGAAAAAAATTTAGTGCCTGTTTCGGTGCTTCCTTACCAATTCGCTTGTAGTGTGACTAATCAATGTTCTTAGGTGGGTGTGTCTTAGAGGTCCCAATAAAATAATAATAATAAAATTAAATTAAAAAGAAACATGACTACCCAAGAAATGTATGCATTAGTACAAATATTTAAAGTTGGTAGTGTTTACTCCCCCAATTCACCAAGCAATGATCCGTAGTATACAAAATTTTGTGTGATTTAGAACTTAAGCAAAATGAACTTCCTGCGGATATTTCATTCTATCTGTTGCATCCTAAGTCACATAAAGCGAGAGTAGAAGTAAGAACAAATTCGAGAGTCAGAGCGTGAGAGCGGTAAAATTTATGTCATAAATAGTGAGAGTTTAAGTGAGATCGCGCGTGGAGCGTGAAAGTAGGAGCGCTCAAGAAACGTAAGAGCGATTTTTGTTGAGAAAGATTGTGTGACTTAGATTGCATCATCTTGTAAACCAAACCTTAAACAATGAATATTATTTTTGCAATTTAACCTACATAGAGTAACACCAAAACCTGAAATGGTGATATACTAGGTAATGCACTTTTTCTTGGGAAATAATAAACTTATTATTAAGATCATCAATTATTGAATATACACCTAGAAAAAGGATTGTATTATGTTAAAACTGACAAGAGTCCTTGTTGAATTCTATCTCAGTCTAAAAAACTGATTTATTATTATTATTTTTAAAAAAATTTTTAGGAATTACTCAATTTCTTAGTCTATGCTGCAAATGACAAAACCATCCGAACCTTATATTCTTTTTTAACTTCAACATTTACAATATTTTAGCTAGGATTTCAAAACACAAAAAAATAATAATGCAAGCCTCCACCTTGGAACCAGCTATCAAAGGTAGAATTGAAACATGACTCGGGTAGAACCCGAAGTTAAACACTGAAAAAAATTTATTCCGAAGTTAAACACTGAAAAAAATCTATTGAAGAATAGTGAAAGCTTCTTTTTAAAACAACCAATACATTAGAGGCATAGAGAGTTGACAAGTATGAAACACACACAGGGAGTTGAATCTTGCACCTCCTCTTGGGTCTCGGTGGAATTATATATATATATATATATATATATATATATATATATATATATATATATATATAGTGGCTGTTTGTTTAATGTTCGTGTGTTTCAGTGGAGATATCTATATTTTATATAGATCGGGTCTCAGTTGATATAAATATGGGATATTATCACTTGCCTTAGACTTAATTACAAAAAGTATTTCTAACGATGTTACACCGACCTCCCTCCAAATTCACCATTCTTTTCTCACTTAATTGTCCATTTTAAATGAGAACAATACTCTCTAATATTTTACTAATGTAATATAAAAGAAAATATATAGTGGGTGGATGTTTATTTAATATTCTTGTATTTTGGGTAGAAATATATATATAGTATATATAGTGGGTCTTTTTTGTTTGTACTTTCGTATATGTGTATTTATATAATGATTGTTTTACAAAATAAATATAAAAAAAATCAATACCAAACATTTCTCAATCGCGCATATGCTTTATATATTAGGAGAAAGCATGTAGAGAAGAAAGTACCCACTACTAAAGATTGGATGAAACTTGTGCATGCCTTTTCATAATTGAATTTGCATTAATGGATTTTCCTGTTATAATGAATTATAATATAATACACAATGTTGGTCCAGACAGAATGACAGAACCTTGGTATATTATCCATATCTGGGTAAAACATTGACAATGTCTTGTTCACTCACAGAGATCCATCCCACTAAATTCAGAACCAGTTGTCATCCTTAAAAGATAAAACATTTTCTGCTTTTTGATAAGTAAAATATGATTAAATATCATTAACCCGAAAAATCCACCAACTCCTCTACATATTTACAATACCTCCCAAGAACCTGAAAAATAAACTAATAATAGAAAACTTGAGCACCACAATAGTAGACTCCTCTTTGTCAAAAGACCACCTCCTATTTCTCGCCCTCCCTACACAACAAGCACCCGCCATAAACAAAGAGGCGCCACCCTCTCAAAATCTCGGACTGGAGTCCCCACTATACATTTTCTCCGAGCCTCAAGCATGCTCACCGTGGTTTTTGGCATTTACCCAATGAACCCCAAACAAAGCCAAAAGCATGACTCACCGATCCCAAACCTCTAAACAATGCAGAAGGAGATGGTTCACCGACACCCCATCCTTTTTGCACACGTAACACCAATTCACAGCAATCTGTCTCCTCCTCCTCATGTTGTCGGTCATCAATTGGGGAGTCATCGTCCAACCAAAGAAGACTTGAGAGGAGCCCTAGTGACTAACCTGCCTTCGACCCATTTAGGTTAGCTTCACTCTTGTGTAGCAGTTAATGCTTTGTTGATAACTGCATCAATCGCTTTGTCGGAACTCTTCCCTTGCTTGCTTCATCTCCATAGTATGGCCTTCCTTCTTTAGTAACAAGCTGTAGTAAAAAGGCTTGTTAAAACCCACCATCTCTTTCCTTCAATAATGCCTTTGCTTCAAGACGTTACCAATAAGAATAGGAAAAAGGCACTACCTTTATTCAGGGGGAAAAAAGAGAGACTGCATTTTTGAATTGAAGAAGCCGAAGGGGTGAACGAGCGCTGCTGTGACGAGCCGTAAGAAAGATGAGCACAGCATTCCTTCTGCCGGCCTGGAAAGGAAGTCCCCCAAGCAATCATCAACACTTGTAGAAGGAACGCACCCAAAATATCCCGAGAGGAAGCCATCCAGAAATTTTTTTATCTATCGTAAATCAGGAAAAAAAAAATTTGGGGGGAGGGGGGGGGGGGGGGGGGGGGGGGGAAGAGACTACCTTTTTGAATTGAAGAGGCCAAAGGGGTGAACGAGCGCTGCGGTGACGAGCCGTAAGAAAGATGAGCAGAGCATTCCTTCCGCTGGCCTGGAAAGGAAGTCCCCCGAGCAATCAACACTTGTAGAAGGAATGCACCTCAAATATCCGCTGAGAGGAAGCCATCTGGAACTTTTCTATCTATCATAAATCAGGAATATTTAAAGTGGAATTATGCAGAATGCAGTAACAATCAGAGCAATTTTTTGTGTATTGTAAATATATAATGAATCCTCTACAAATGCACCACAGCTAGTTTGTTCAACTTTATTAAAGGGAAAGTACTCCAAAAAGGAGAAAAGGAAATATCACTAGCTATTAGCGTGTGTGGTGTATCCTGCCACTCTCAAGGGCAGGTGTCAGATTCAAGTTTCGGTTAGGACATGGGTGCATTTCTATAAAACAATACAAGAAAATTTTGAAAAACCAGCATAAAAGTTCCCCCAGAGAAGATAAAATAAAACAGACATTTTGCATACCTGTCACTAGATGATAAAAATTATCCGCTATTACAACAGCCGATCATTGATTTAATGTCTGGAATATTTACAGACAAGTCTCTCAAAGTAGTAATGCCTTTCATCCCTTTTGTGTCCAAATAACTTAACAACCATAAAAGGGCAGAATTATTGATCATAATCCTTTCAGATTCAAGAAGAGAACCACCATTGTTAAGTTTCTTCAAAAAATCGGCTAAGCTCTCAATCAACATTGAGGCATTGGAAACAGCCCATTTTGCCAAAACTGCAGCAGCAAAGTACTGGAATTTATTGTTAGGTAAAAACATGATTGCCCCAACAAGCTCAGTAGTGGGAGTAAGACAACTGCACAGTGCCATTAGCCCCCCAACTGCAATTGAATTAACATCTGGATCTAGATCATTTGCACAGAAAAATTTCAAAATTAATTTATCTACCTGAACCTTTGAAACCGCAAGCTCAGATCTGATCAAGCCCCAGAACTTATGCTGTTCTAAGGATCCCCATTCAAAAGAGCTTTTGATTAAGAGGGAAATAGTTTCTGTGCTCTCCCCAAATATAAATATTTTTTTCAAGCCAATCTGAAATTGCATATCGAGAAGATCTGCATGATTCAACTGACTAACAAGTAATCTCATGATGTCTACCTCACCAATGGACAAGTCGGAAAGATAATAAAAGACGCTGCAGAGTAAAAACTTCAATCTTTTCCTATCCCATTCAAAACAAGCCATCAAATCGGAAGACATAAGCCTAGCTGGAGAGGTATCATCAGATTGTTTACCAAGATTTCTACTCATATGCGCAAGGAAACATCTATAAGCAGCAAAAGCACCATTTACCAACTTGGCCACTAATTCATTGTCCATTTTAGAAGTAGAATCACCAGGTTCAGGAGACTCCTTTCCTCTATTGCTCAAAACACAAAAATACTGTCCAACATGAAATGTCAGTAATGGTATTCCTGACCCACTTACCTCAACAGAATTGCTCTCGACCCCCAGATTTCCCAGGTATCCACCCACATGTGCCTCATACGCAAGTCTTGTCACATAAGACAACAGGCGTGCTCCCACTGGAAACCCATTTCTTGACCAGCACACAAGCAAGTCTTGCACCCTCTCATGCAAAGAGAAGATCAAAATACGAACTATTAAGGCAGTAGCAGATTGAATCTCATCATCAAAATTTTGACCATCCCGAATACATTCAAGAGGAGCAAATAATTTGTAGCCATTCAATTCAAATTCCTTTGCTATTTTATGGGATAAAACTTCAGAGCTCAGGTTAAGCCCACTTGCAGGCCTCTGGCAATCAAGATTTACAAATAAAAAGAGTATTTTTTCCAAAGCCTGTAGGCCCAATGTACTTGAGCATTTAGTGGTTTCTCGAAGACTTTGAACTAACTCCTCTAAAGCATCATCTTGACTTCCTGTAGTCGCATCTAATGGAATACATGAAGAGGCTGTTTCATTAGAAATTAGAACAGAAACATCACTACATTTGGTGCCCATTCCATCTTTGCTTGAGCATGTACTTAACAACAGCTCTTCCTGTAATGGTGTACCAGAATCTACAATAGATGTACATGTCAAACTCAAGCACTGCACTGAATGAACTGGAATATGAGCTGACTGCAATTCTTTGGGCACACTTGGTCTAGTGCCTGAAATCAAGGCCACAAGCCTCTCTTTGAGAAAGGGAGCGAGTGCATCACAAGCAATGAAAACATCAAGTGAGTTAACCACTCCCTTCCTAACAAGTACAGAAAAGGCTGATGAAACACACTGGACGATTAACTCATTCCTCTCCATATCATAGTTGTCCACAAGAAGAAACAAAAACTCAAGAAGAGAATGAGTAATGTCAATATATCTAGGAATAGAATTCAGCATCAGTAGGATTGCCGGCTCAATATTCATAATATTGTCCACTCTCTCTTCAAAGAAAAGCCAATCATATAACAGGGCCAGCTTTACATTGGATTCAACATATTTCTTCCGACAAGATTTCAACAGCCAACCTATAACAGCCCATCTCGGGATGATAGCTGATTGGATAATTTCGTTAGTTGGATGGTGCGCACAACATATAAACCGAACAATGTCGATTACAACTGTCTCTCTATCTGGCGCGCACAGAAACTTTGTTGCAAACCAAGCCTGGTAACGCTTTTGACTCCCCAACTTTACATTTGTAAGTAAAAATCGTAATTGGGTCTCCATTTCTGGAGTGATACGGAGTAAAAAGTACCGGCTCGAAGTCCTTGATCGGTAAAGTCGTGAAATATCTAAAAACCCTTCAGTTTTAAATTCACCTGGGTTCAACATCAAGTCTTTCCATATAGCTCGAAATTCAGGTATGTAAAACAAGTCCTGTAGAAGCCGAATAAGATCCCTCCCGATCTTGAAACACAAATGAAATTGCTCCCTCAACATTCTAACACAAAAATTAATCTCCATTCTCTTCAACGCCTCTATCTTCAAATTACCCGGTAACCTATAATGATCTGCCAATAACCGAAGAAAAGTATATAAAGCACTCGTCAAAACAAGGGGCTCTTCTTCTAATAAACAATCCCATTTGTCCAAAAGAACAGAAAGCAACACCGAACACAACCACAAATTCCCCTCACTAAAATCTCCACCAACAATTTGCCTCAAAAGGGCCACCACCAACATGTCAACTCCTAATGCCGAAACATAGACCATCTCCGACGTAATCCAAATCAATTGAACCTTTGCTGGCTCAACAAGTTTTGGGTACAATTCATCAACAATCTTGACAAGCGTGTTTGTGAAAAAAGTATAACCATCCGTGACCTTGCCGTGCAAGTGCTTAATATGAATTTTGGCCAAATGAGGTTCGCATAAAATTCCGTAGAGAATGGCCATATTGAGGTCTAAGTATTCTTGTGGAGTCGGGATTTTTAAAGGAAATGGGGGTCTGAGTTGAGGTTCAAGAAGCTGAAAAGCTTCTCTTAGAGAGACTTCAATTGGGTTATCTGCTTCGTGGGCAGATTTGCGAATCAGTTTTGAGGCCATGCAGAACCTATCAGTAAATTAAATTCAATCAAAGTTTCATGGGTTGCTCTGGAGCCTCAGAAATCGGTAAGAACCGGAAGCAATCCAGGAGAAAAATACATGCATTGCAAACAAAAATGTTCTCAGAATAACAAAACCCAATCATCAAAACATAAATTCATACATACATAAATCGATTTAATCTCTTTCACTGGAGTATTTTTGCTGTCATGTACTCTTGATAATAGAAAATCTAAGATTTCGAGTGGTTGGAGAAGAACGTATAAAGATGATTGCAGGATGAGAACATCTTATCTTATGGCTTTATACTATAAAATTCATGTATTTGCAACATACCAACCTCTACTTGTAGAAATTCCTGCTAGTACGTATCGCCACCGAAAAACCCTAGATGGTGGCCATAGGAATCGGATACACCTCCATACAGTGCAGCGATACTGATCGGAATCTGAACGTAACCCACCAGTGTAAAGCAACACTGCCCCAGAATGCTTTTACAACATTTCTACAAGAAGAAGAGCTTCTGGTTTTATCAATTGATTAGAAGAGAGAGAGAGACGAGACTTGAGAGTCGATTTACAGAGAGACAGTCGAATGAGGGCTTATTCAACCGCAAAATAATAAAATTGTTGGGGTATTAAGGTAATTTTATTTGAGCGATTTTGATATAAGAGAATGGGAAGATTTTTATAAAATTAATATTTTTTAAAATTTGGTCTAAATAGAAAAAATATATATATTAAGAGTGTTAAATTGTTTTTTTTTTTTTTTAATTATTTTTTTTAAAGCATGTGTATCAGCCCCACAATAACGCACCATTTAAGTCAAAAATAATATTCGAAAGCGAGATTTTAAGAACTTATGTTCCGGATTCTACCAACAACCCTATGCCATTGGGAGCATTTAATTTCAAATTTCAAAGTTAAATAAACTTTAAATAGATTTTAAATTTATAATTTATTCAAACTTCAAAATTGGATAGTGTAATAAATGACTTGAATAAACCAAAAGAAACCATTTTAAGTCAAAAGTATATACCAATGACTAACAACATGAGTCATACAATTACACAATCGAGATAAATCAATAAATGGAACTATACATTTTAAACATATATATGTGTGTAAATATATATATAATATGTGTGTGTAAGAAGATATTAAACAAGAGATAAAACAGGATTTAGGGTTTAAATTGTTTATGAGTTGGTGGATTAAAATTTAAAATTTTAACTTGCCCACTATTTCAACCCTCTTTTTTCAAACATTCTAGTAGGTTATAGGCCTATGGCAGACCAAAAGATGTTATTAGAACTAACAAACTAATAACACTTTTAAAACTTTGGATAATTATTTTTTAATTAGCTCTCACTTGAATGGATCAAAAAGCTGTGAAAATATCTATTTTCTGAATCAATTTCTTGAGTTTGTAATTATAGCATTAATTACTCTAAAGTTTTCATGATATAGGTTTTTAAATTATTAGTTTCTAAAATTCTCTTTTAATTTTTTAGGTTTTTTTTTCGTCTTTTACTCTTTAAATTGCTTTTAAAAACTTAAATTTTTCATGTTAAATTAAAGTCTATTTTTTTTTTTTTTCTTTTTAAGTTGTGTCATTTTTTTTTCCTTTATTTATTTATTTTTTTTTCCCTTCTACCTATTGAGTAATTCAAGAAGTCTGAAACTCTTCTCTCATAAAGATACCAGAAAAAAATGGGGTCAAAATAAACAAATTAATCATCAAACATCATTCTTTTAATTTGAAAACTTGTAAATTTACATACTCACAAATTATATGAATTTTGAATGGTTTGCTTATGGTGAATTTTGATGACCCTAATTGATGCCTTGATGGGTGTTGTTGCTGGTTGCAATGTTTCGATGAATGTTAATTCAGACCTTGATTGTTGAAGAAACTAAGAAAATGGCAATCTCATCATTTTATTATTAATTTTGAAAAAATAAAACACAAGAGGAGTTTGTTGGGGAGCAAATAACAGTTTCGGCCTTCTTTTGGTACTCTTATAAAATCCGTATTTCATTAACATACAATAAAAAAATATGTATTTTTTTGCATTAATTTTTGTTTAATTTGATACTTTTGAGAAAATAATTAAACATGGGTTTAGAAAAACCACCCAAATGTGCATTTAAGATCCTCAAATTATTGTGAAATTAAGCAGAAAAATAGATCACACACTGACACAGACGCAACATGAATACACAAATTTACTTGGTTTATCCAAAACAATGAATACATTTATAAGGGTTGCAAGGATTTTACTATGATGATTAAAATTCCAGCTGATATAAAAAGTTCAGGATCAATAAATACCATTGCACTGAGACAACATAACAAGTACAAAAATTATCAAAATACCCCCAAAATTTTGAGTCGGGTAAGCCCATGAACCCCCCCCCGCGCGCGCGCGCGCGCGAAGGAAATATAAAATTGTAATTGGCATCTTTTAATGTCAAAAAAAAATCCAATTGAATTGTAATATTCATGCTACATTTAAGTCTTAAGGTCAAAAGTAGAACATGTGCTAACTTACTCCGATATTATTTAGACTAGTAAGTGAAGTGATGACACTATGTTTTAAATTATAATTAATGTTTTTATTGAGAGCTAGAAGTTTTAGAGTAAAAAATTGCTATTTTTACTCTTAATCAAAGCACAAATGGTTGCTTTTCAAAACCCAACCCATTGTAAAACTTGTAGGTCCAATATTTAGCTCAGAGTGAAAACTCAATTGGTGGGATTTCAAAAGGCAACCGATGGGATTTTCTCAAACCAAAAAGGATGATTTTGATTCCTTTTCTGATTTTATAGAAATTCATTCAAATCGACATACTAAAAAATATACATAGTTTATAATAAATTATACTAGTATTAATTAAAATAATATAATATTCACAATAAAACACCATTAATTATAGCGTAATTATGTATTTTTTAAACTATTCCCAACAGTCTTTGAACAAAATTGCTAACCTTTCCAGAGGCTTTTAGGGTTGTCTAAACGCCTATAAATATATATCATATATTCTCAAAATCATTACAAATTTCACTATTCACATTTTCAAATCCTTAGAGAGATTTTGCAGAGATTGTTTATTCTTCAGTTTGAGATTACGCATCAGATTTGATAAAAAAAAAAAAATAAATAAAAAAAAATAAAAAATAAAAAAAGAAAGAAAGAAAGAAAAGAGGAAGCTATCAAAAACATTCGGGAGAGTGTTGTTGATCTACCAACAATCCTTTTACAAGAATTAAGGAAGTAAGCCTAATATTAAGTACTGTTGGATGGGAAGTCGCAAAGTCAAAAACATTCAATAATTGATTATTGGTATAATGAAGGGGTGTGAGATTCAGTCAAAGTTTATTGTACTTTGCTTCAACTATAGTGAATCTTTTTCGCTCTAAATTGCATCATTATCTCCAAGGTTTCTAATCTTTGGATTATTTTCTCCAATTAGGTTTTCTCACTAAAAATTAAGTATCATTCTAACTCTACTCTACTTTTCTTGCATTTATTTTTATTTTGTGACTTATTAATTTACATTCAATTTGGTAAATTTAATTTAAGCAAAAACTTAGATAAAGGAGCAAGTTACATTTATTCACCCCCTTTTAAGTATTTTTAAACTATATTTCACAACCATTCAGCATTGTGCAAATCACACAATACATAAATTTGTCTATGTTAAATAAAAAAAATTTACGATGATGTGAAAAATGACCATTCATATAGATTTAATTGAAAGGATTCATCCTTTGAAAACAAAATAGAATAGGTTTTTGGAGTAAAGTATTGTTATATAAGTATAAAAGCCTAACTACTTCTTTTCTTTTTCTTTTTTTTTCTTTTTTTTTTTTTTTTTTTTGACTATGGTGGTTAGGCCTTTTTGAGAATTTTATAGTCCACCACCAACCAAACACATGAGATTCTCCAATTTTACATGTATGGAGAAATTACTGTTAAGAAATGTACTTCCTCCGATCCAAGATAAATTTCTTTTTGGGAAAGTAACTTTCTATAGAATGATTTTATCCCCAATTTGTTTTTATTGGTTGTAAATGCAAGAAAATCTCTCTCTCTATTTTGACAGAATTTCGGTATATTTCACAATAATCCCCCTCTCTTTTACTCTCTTCACTGCCTATTTATAGGCAATTACAAGTGCTACTGGACTATCAGTTTTGGGCCTTCTTTCTAGTGGGCTTGGCCTTCTCTGATGGATCCTCTGAGCTTGGCCCATTCTGTGGTGCTCTTGTATGGGCTGAATTCAATTGTTTGACTCGATGCCACGTCTGCGGATCATACCCGGCCTATATTACCTCCGGTATCCTCAACTACCTCCATAATTACTCCCTAATTAATTAGGGGGTAATTATTAGAGGCTGCTAATCATGACTTAACGGCTCGAAAAGATCTCTTGGGAAAATGAACAGTTGGATTCGGGAACCGATGCTCCGAGATTCAAAAAACTTCTCAGTTTCCCGAATCCTTGGTCGTCGGGCACACCATGTCTTTATACGCCTCAGGGATGTTCCATCAATCTTCTCTACTGTCTCTATCTTGCTTTACTGTCAATCAAACCCTCATCCATCTCTTCCGAATCAAATCAAATCTTCTCCGGCGATTTCTTGCAAAAGCTCCTTTTTCCAGCGACCTTGCAGTGCACTTTGGCGTTTTCACTCTCTAGGGTTAGTTTTGTTTGCCTTTCTCTTTCAGAAGACCTCTTTTTCTCCCTTAAAATCTTTATTCATTCTCACCATGACTATAGATCTAGATTTTCTTCGCATGAGACTTCAACTTCCTGACGATATATAGATTAGAAATTGCCCCAAAGAGGTGGATATTAGAACTGGTGCTGGCCTTCTTCCCGGCGAGGTTCTATTTTCCCATCTTCATCTTAAATTAGGTTCCCTCTGCATCCCTTCTTTAACTATATTTTTAATAAATTAGGGCTTTCCCCTCTGCAGGTAAACCCCAATTTCTTTAGAGTATTATCCGTTCAATTGCTTCTGATCCCTGACAGAGGTCTAGATCTTGATATCATAGATCTTCTCCTCTGTTACAAAATTAGCAAGATACGTTCTGATGAACCGTTTTACTACTTCTACCCGATCGAAAAGAGATCTATATGTAAGGACAAAATCAAATCCGAGAAGGGTTAGAGAAATAACATAATAGGGGTTAGAGGGGCTTGGTCTTCTCCAGCTGCAGAGGACTTTCCTATCCTGAGTGCCTTTGGCGAATGCTCGGTTTCTTCGTATAAAAAATTCAAAACGCATAAAAATGACTGCTCTTGCGAAATCTGTGTCCCTTGCTTCTGTACTTTTCTTTGCCATTCCCTAGGCATTCCTTATAATGACTTGAGTTATGGTGTTTGCAGGGATAGGATCAACTACCTAAACAAATACGTTTTAAACAACATCCCTTCCTGCTCAGATCTCCTTACTTCGGATAACCTCTTTGATATCTCACTTATTGGTAAAAACATGAGCCAGCTTCAGATTCCTTCCTTCGGCAGGAGGAAAGATCCTCTGACTCCGAGGGTTACTGCTACTCCTGCTGTAACCTCCTCTTCGGCCTCAGCATC